TTCATCCCTGTCTGGTTTTATGTTTTGGAACTCAAGTGCAAACTCCAGTCCTTCATTTAGTTTCTGCCTTTCAGAGAGCAGAGAATCCACTTCCAAATTACTGGAATTCATGCAGCTTTAATTGCACATAGGTGTGTAGTGCAGCACACTGCAAATCGCATTGAATCTTATCAGACCAATAATTCAGCTGCTATTTGTCTGTCCCCTCCCCCCACTCAATTTCTCCTTATTTTAAAAAACCAAGTGCCTCCACTACATGCTGTAGTTTATTACTCGCTACCACTTAAGATGTATACTTGAATATTTTTTTCCTTTTGATTTAAAGTAAATTACCCTCACAAAACAAAAAGGCTGCTAAACTACTTACCCTGAAAAAGGCTATTATAAGCCTAAGACCAGTGGCTGGCAACCTATGGCCCATGGGCCAGATCCAGCCAATGCAGACATTTGACCTGGTCTGTGAATGTGGGACTTTAGCAATGTTAGGGAGCAGGGGCACTTTGGGGGCAGGAGCTGACCCCATGTTGCCACAGGGAGAAGTGGCAGTAGCACAAGGAAAGGGGCTGCTGAAAGGAAAAGTGGTGCTGGCAGACAGATCCTAGCATCCACCTCTGACCCGAGCTGGGTCATTCTAGCCTGCAACCTAAAAAAGGTTGCCTTCCACTGTTTTATATCATTCCCACCAATGAACAAGTAACTGGTCCAGCCCATAGGTCAGGGGCAATAGGCTGACATTTCTTAGCAGTTAATTTCAGATCAAAATAGGCCAAAGTCAGGAAGTGGCGAGATCAGTGCTACAGGAGAAATCTTAATGATCATAGAATCATAGAAAGTCGGGTGGAAGGGACCTCGAGGGGGTCATCTAGTCTAACCCCCTGCCCAAAGCAGGACCATCCCCAACTAGCTCACCCCAGCCAAAGCTTTGTCCAGCCAGGTTTTGAAAACCTCCAAGGATGGAGCTTCCACCACCTCTCTGGATAACCTGTTCCACTGTTTTACCACCCTCCTAGTGAGAAAATTGTTCCTAATATCCAACCAAAACTTCCCTTGCTGCAACTTAAGACCATTGCTCCTTGTTCTGTCATCTGCCACCACAGCAGCCTAACTTCATTCTCCTTCAAACCCCACTTCAGGTAGTTGAAGGCTGCTATTAAGTACTCTCTCAGTCTCCTCTTCTCTACATTAAATAAACCCAGTTCCCTTAGTCTTTCCTCATAAGTCATGTCCCCCCAGGCCCCTCACCATTTTTGTTGCCCTCCGCTGGACTCTCTCCAATTTGTCCACATCTTTTCTGTAGTGGGGGGCCCAAAACTGAACACAGTGCTCCAGATGTGGCCTCACCAGTGCTTAAACTATTGGCAACACACCAATGCAGCCCAGTATTCCATTAGCCTTCTTGGCAACAAGAGCACACTGCTGGCTCACAGTCCACTGTAACCCCCAGGTCCTTTTCTGCAGAGCTGCTGCCCAGCCATTCAGCTCCCAGCTTGTACTGGGATTATTCCGTCCTAAGTGCAGGACTTTGAACTTGTCCTTCTTGAATCTCATGAGATTCCTTTTGGCCCAGTCCTCCAATTTGTCTAGGTCTCTCTGAATCCTAGCCCTACCCACAGGGAAGTATCACTATTCCCCGCAGCTTGGTGTTATCTGCAAACTTGTTGAGGGTGCACTCTATGCCAGCTTCCAGGTTGTTGATGAAGACATTGAACAAAACCATCACCAGGACCAACGCCTGGGGCACTCCACTTGATACCGGCTGCCAACTAGACATCAAGCCATTGATTACTACCCTCTGAGTGTGGTGCTCCAGCCAGTTTTCTATCCATCTTACAGTCCATTCATTCAGCCCATATTTCCTTAGCTTGTCTGGGATGATGCCAGGGGCACATCTTTTATGTTTTATAGTACAAATTAAGTAGCACACAAAACAACCCACTAAAGGTGCATGCTTGACACAAACCCAGAAGGTAGAGTGTAAATACACACACACACACCCCCCGCCCCCAATTAGTACATTTTCCACAGTTTAATTTGTACAAGCTCGATGTGTTATTCAAATAGCTTCAATTTTTTTTTTAAGTTTATCTTAACTATTTTGGGTGCTTCTGAGCTCCACAGCAAGTCTTGTACACAGCATAATCTGAAATAATAAACACTGATAGATGTAACATTTAGGAGCAAATCCTTTACCCAACATACAGCCCAAGCAGTCAAGCCAGTTCCTGGGCAGAGATGTGGGCATGCAGGGGCTAGATGAAACTTGGCTTTTATAAAACTCCAAAGGGCTTTTATTCTTAAACTTTTCTGACATGCTGCCCATGCAGCACAGTAAGCAATAGCTTATGTTGGCATACTGCCTCAAGATAAAGAAACCTGTAGAAAAGATTTATTTCAACTGCACAGGAGCAGAACCTTACTGCATCACCACGTGTCAGGACACTAGCACCTACTGCAAAAATAGGAGACATGTGGAAGTTTGACTGTGACTACTGATAAACAATGATATACTTTATCCAAGAAAATGAAAAGAGGACACACTAGAAGATGAACTAATGACACTGATTTGCTTCCACTCTTTTCAAGCATTAAACAGAAACAGTATCCTGAATCAAGTGATATCGTCATGAAAAGTAACAGAGAACAAAACTGCTGAAAGAGGACAGAATGCCACCTGGCCAGCTGTTGGGGCTGCTGTCACAAACGTTAAAAAGATAACTAGGAAGGTTAAGGAAGGCTCCAGTCATTATGCTGACTGGAAAAAACCCCACAAAATTCTGGGACTAATTCCCCATTATTGAGTATTAAATTCCCCGGAATTATTTTTATGGAGGGTGAAAGTGAACTCCAGAAAGAAAAAATCTGAATGACTCCAAATTATGCAAAATTACCCAATATCCAAAGGTATCTGAATCCTTCAAGTCTAAGATAAAAGATTAGGATAATTAGGTGTTCACTGGAATGCAGGTGGTTTAAAGAATAGCTAAAAAGTCATGCAGAAAATTGTTAAATGTAACACTTAAGTGTGCATACACATACAAGTACCATTTAGGGCAAACTTACAGGAAGGGGACTTTTTTTTAGATATATGTACTGATCTGCTACCTAGTATTGTTACAGTTCGTTCTTCACTTTATAACTAATGAATATTATAACACAAGTTTTCCATTTTGGTTGACTCAAGCATTCAAAAGAATGTGTGCAAACTATTAATTTACTTTTGCTTGTATATTAAGCTAGATCTCAGTCCTGTAACTGGATCGAGGCAGACAACTGGACTTCTGTGCACAGAGCCTCACAGGCTGTACCAGGGCTTCCCAGAAGTGCTGTGATCTGCTTAACTGAAAGATCAGAACTTAGTCAGTTTCCCCAGTTTGACAGCAAATCGTACTGAATTAACACAAGGAAGAAATCAAACACATCTGCTTGTAAAAAACACAAAACAGTTAGACAGAACTCCAAAAGAGGTTGTAAATCAATTTGAAATTTTGTTTGTTTTACAGATTTTCAGTTGCCAGTGTCCTTCAGAAGGAACACAACTGAAATGTGAACCAAGCTTAAATACTTTAAGTAAAGCACTACTAGTAAAATACCAGACTGCCAGCGATCAACAATTATAAATGGTCACCAAAACTAAGCGTAGTGGAAGAAAAGCAGACCATGTTCCATGAGGGAACCAGGTTCCCTCATGGAACATGGTTCCAAACCATGTTCAGATACAGGTTCCAAACCTGTATCTGCATATACGGTTCATTTCACCTAGCTACCCTGGGTCAAAAAATACAGATCCCTTGTCTCTGCCATTTACAGCAAAGTACTCAACATGCACCAGTTGTCCCACAATTGGAAAAAAAAAAACCCCAATAACTTGCAAGGCAAGCAATAACTATTACTTGTTGGAAATAGTGAGCAGCTATACTTTAGAATTTAGGTATTAGGTAGGCCTCTTTGTCCAAAAAGCAAGCATCAGCTCTTACCCCTTAATATTTTTCTTGTTACAGCACCCCATTGCTCTACCACTTCACCTTAAGGATGCACTTTCTATAGTTCGCCAAAATGGCCTCTGGACAAAGAGAAGACAAATACACATCCCAAGCATATTGTGCAACTTTCCCTTGATTTGTTTTGCCATTGTCCATCAGCCATTTCCTATTCTAAATGCCTTCCTGTGAATAGGGATGCCTTTGGCTACATCCTTGCATCTCGTATAGCATTTGAAGATAGGGAAAAACATCTCAGTTTATCAAAAAATTAAAGCATCTTAGTGACTCTTGACTTGTTTTTTCCAGGCAAAAACTTACTTCATGTGCCCAACCTTTGTTATCTACAATTATGATTTTCACTGTGTGGCAAAGGCTAGGCTAGGCCAGGAGGAAGAGTGCAACACACTAACACTACTAAGGACCTAGTAATAAGAGTGCCTAGCTCTTATGTGAAATCCTATTTCATAGGATTTCACAGGATTTCACACATCTTATATGTGAAATCCTGTGAAATATGAACTTTCATTTCTACCCAGGAGAACTTTAACAATCTTTTCCCCAATGCCTAATGAAGGGTGTTTGTGCCCAAAAGCTTGCAATTAAAGAATTTTTTTTTGAAAAAAAATCTTGTTGGTCTCTACTACAAGTCCTGATAGCTCTTATATGGCACTTGACAAGAGGAAACCTCAAAACACTTCACTAAGGATGGATCTTTAAGTCAGGTGCTTTCCCCCCAGACAACACTTTCCTGAATTGTAAAGCCCATTTGCACAAACATCTGGTAACAGTTTACAAGATGAAAACTGCCTGTTGCAATTGTGCTCCTTGCCCTGTAACAGAAGGTGCTGTTATGTTATTCAGCAACTAAAGACTAGAAAAATGTAAAGCAATGTCAATATTGTACCAGTTGTATGCTCACCTGTCAACTCTATGCAGCTTGGTATTTGTTAACAAACATATTTATACAATACAAATTCACTTGTTTGAAGGACATTTAAGGACAGAAAAATAAAGTCTTACTCATGTGAGCAGACTGCTGTTGTTCTTCTTTCTCCCTGAACCCTCATTCCACATGAAGTCTGATCACTGCCTTCAAGTCAAATTCATTACATGAAACCAAACACAAAGGAAGTGAGGATTTGACAACAAAATAATCTGAACTCCATACTAGTTTGCCTGCCCTTAACCTGTCAGGACATACTTTTTCCCTGTTGGACCTTCCCGTGTAAAAGCATACTTCCTATATTCCCATCTTTCACACTCCAATGGAATAAAGAGACTAGCCTTGCCATAACAGCTCTACAAACTTTACTCAGCAGTTCAGAAAGATTATCTCCTGCTTGTAGGATGGGTGGATCAAGATCCCTGAATCTTTACACAAGTCACAAACCTCTACCCTTTTGCTATATTTCTCATAAAAGGAAAAAAAAAAATCTAGATCACACACACACCCACACGTCCAACTTCTATCAAGCCTGTTCCCATGATATCTATAAACCACTGTTCACTACAGCTTTATTAAATCACTCTCCTTATTCTTAGATGTCATCTTACCCAGCAATCAAAATCTTGTGCATATGAAATGGATGCCGTATCAGTCACAGAACCTTTCTAAGATACCAGCAAGAAGGAGAAGCATCTTCAACTACTGTGGAAGCAGTCAGCTATATTATCACTTGCGGTTTTTAAAGGAAAAGGCGTGCTTTCCCAAGAGCACAATTTTAGTCGACGGAAGACAACCCTGGCAAAAGAAGTAAATCCACATGTCAAATTTTCTCCACAGTGTGGACAAGAAAACTTTCCTATCATCAGAACACCCCATTGCAGACACTGAGGATTTTTCTAACCTGTGTACAGGAACTCCACCTGACACAGGAGGTACACAGTCCCACTAGAGGGAATGCCTTACTAGATCTGGTATTGGCAACGGGGGATGACATGGTAGGGGACCTACAGATCGGTAGCCATCTGGGGGATAGTGATCACCTAATAATAGAATTCTTCATAAGACGTCGAGTGGGTAAGGTAACTAGTCGGGTGAAAGTGCTAGATTTTAGGAAAGCTGATTTCAATGAACTCAGGCGATTAGTCAAGGACGCACTGCAGAGTAGGAGTTTTGAAGTGATGGGAGCCCAAGAAGGGTGGCTGTGCCTTAAGGAATTGATCCTTCGGGCACAAAGGAAGACAATCCCGATGCGAGGAAAAAGAGGGAAAGGGGCCAGGAGGCTTCCTTGGCTGACCAGAGAAATCCAGGGCAGCCTACGGGCCAAAAGGGGAGCACATAAAAAGTGGAAACAGGGAGAGATCACCAAAGATGAATATACCTCCTCTGCTCGCACTTGTAGGGAGGCAGTTAGATGGGCCAAAGCTACCATGGAGCTGAGGATGGCATCCCAAGTAAAGGATAACAAGAAATTGTTTTTCAGATATATAGGGAGTAAAAGGAAGGCCCAGGGAGGAATAGGACCCCCTACTAAATAGGCAGAAGCAATTGGTGACGGACGGGGGGACAAGGCTAAACTCCTCAATGAGTTCTTTGCCTCAGTGTTCCTAAGAGAGGGGCAAGACAAGTCTCTCACTGGG